AGGACCCCTGGCTGCCTTCAAGACCCCTGGCTGCCTCAAGACTCCTGGCTGCCTTCAAGACCCCTGGCTGCCTTCAAGACCCCTGGCTGCCTTCAAGACCCCTGGCTGCCTTCAAGACCCCTAGCTGCCTTCAAGACCCCTGAATGCCTTCAAGACCCCTGGTTGTCTTCAAGACCCCTGGCTGCCTTCAAGACCCCTGACTGCCTTCAAGACTCCTGGCTGCCTTCAAGACTCCTGGCTGCCTTCAAGACTCCTGACTGCCTTCAAGATCCCTGACTGCCTTCAAGACCCCTGGCTGCCTTCAAGACTCCTGGCTGCCTTCAAGACCCCTGGCTGCCTTCAAGACCCCGGACTGCCTTCAAGACTCCTGGCTGCCTTCAAGACCCCTGACTGCCTTCAAGACCCCTGGCTGCCTTCAAGACTCCTGGCTGCCTTCAAGACCCCTGGCTGCCTTCAAGACCCCTGGCTGCCTTCAAGACTCCTGGCTGCCTTCAAGACCCCTGGCTGCTTTCAAGACCCCTGGCTGCCTTCAAGACCCCTGGCTGCCTTCAAGACCCCTGACTGCCTTCAAGACCCCTGACTGTCTTCAAGACCCCTGGCTGCCTTCAAGACTCCTGGCTGCCTTCAAGATCCCTGACTGCCTTCAAGACCCCTGGCTGCCTTCAAGACCCCTGGCTGCCTTCAAGACCCCTGGCTGCCTTCAAGACTCCTGGCTGCCTTCAAGAGTCCTCGCTGCCTTCAAGACCCCTGGCTGCCTTCAAGACTCCTGGCTGCCTTCAAGACCCCGGACTGCCTTCAAGACCCCTGGCTGCCTTCAAGACTCCTGGCTGCCTTTAAGACCCCCTGACTGCCTTCAGACCCCTGGCTGCCTTCAAGACCCTGGCTGCCTTCAAGACCCCTGCTGCCTTCAAGACCCTGGCTGCCTTCAAGACTCCTGGCTGCCTTCAAGATCCCTGACTGCCTTCAAGACCCCTGGCTGCCTTCAAGACCCCTGGCTGCCTTCAAGACCCTCTGCTGCCTCTGCCTCAAGACTCCTCAGGCTGCCTTCAAGACCCCGGACTGCCTTCAAGACCCTGGCTGCCTTCAAGACTCCTGGCTGCCTTCAAGACCCCGGACTGCTTCAGACCCTGGCTGCCTTCTAAGACTCCTGGCTGCCTTCAAGACCCCTGCTGCCTTCAAGACCCCTGGCTGCCTTCAAGACTCCTGGTTGCCTTCAAGACCCCTGGCTGCCTTCAAGACCCCTGGCTGCCTTCAAGACTCCTGGCTGTCTTCAAGACCCCTGGCTGCCTTCAAGACCCCTGGCTGCCTTCAAGACCCCTGACTGCCTTCAAGACCCCTGGCTGGCTGCAAGACCCCATGGCTGCCTTCAAGACCCCTGACTGCCTTCAAGACTCATGGCTGCCTTCAAGACTCCTGGCTGCCTTCAAGACCCCTGACTGCCTTCAAGACCCCTGGCTGCCTTCAAGACCCCTGGCTGCCTTCAAGACTCCTGGCTGCCTTCAAGACCCCTGGCTGCCTTCAAGACCCCTGGCTGCCTTCAAGACCTGGCTGCTTCAAGACCCCTGCTGCCTTCAAGACCCTGGCTGCCTTCAAGACCCCTGGCTGCCTTCAAGACCCCTGGCTGCCTTCAAGACCCTGGCTGCCTTCAAGACCCCTGACTGCCTTCAAGACCCCTGGCTGCTGCAAGACCCCATGGCTGCCTTCAAGACCCCTGACGCCTTCAGACTCATGCTGCCTTCAAGACTCCTGGCTGCCTTCAAGACCCCTGACTGCCTTCAAGACCCTGGCTGCCTTCAAGACCCCTGGCTGCCTTCAAGACTCCTGGCTGCCTTCAAGACCCCGGCTGCCTTCAAGACCCTGGCTGCCTTCAAGACTCCTGGCTGCCTTCAAGACCCCTGACTGCCTTCAAGACCCCTGGCTGCCTTCAAGACTCCTGGCTCCCTTCAAGACCCCTGGCTGCCTTCAAGACCCCTGGCTGCCTTCAAGACTCCTGACTGCCTTCAAGACCCCTGGCTGCCTTCAAGACCCCTGGCTGCCTTCAAGACCCCTGGCTGCCTTCAAGACTCCTGGCTGCCTTCAAGACCCCTGGCTGCCTTCAAGACCCCTGGCTGCCTTCAAGACCCCTGGCTGCCTTCAAGACCCCTAGCTGCCTTCAAGACCCCTGAATGCCTTCAAGACCCCTGGCTGTCTTCAAGACCCCTGGCTGCCTTCAAGACCCCTGACTGCCTTCAAGACTCCTGGCTGCCTTCAAGACTCCTGGCTGCCTTCAAGACTCCTGACTGCCTTCAAGATCCCTGACTGCCTTCAAGACCCCTGGCTGCCTTCAAGACTCCTGGCTGCCTTCAAGACCCCTGACTGCCTTCAAGACCCCTGGCTGCCTTCAAGATCCTGGCTGCCCTTCAAGACCCCTGACTGCCTTCAAGACCCCTGGCGTGCCTTCAAGACTCCTGCTGCCTTCAAGACCCTGGCTGCCTTCAAGACCCTGGCTGCCTTCAAGACTCCTGGCTGCCTTCAAGACCCTGGCTGCCTTCAAGACCCCTGGCTGCCTTCAAGACCCTGGCTGCCTTCAAGACCCCTGACTGAGCTTCAAGACCCCTGACTGTCTTCAAGACCCCTGGCTGCCTTCAAGACTCCTGGCTGCCTTCAAGATCCCTGACTGCCTTCAAGACCCCATGGCTGCCTTCAAGACCCCTGGCTGCCTTCAAGACCCCTGGTCTCCTTCAAGACTCCTGCTGCCTCAAGAGTCCTCGCTGCCTTCAAGACCCCTGGCTGCCTTCAAGACTCCTGGCTGCCTTCAAGACCCTCGGACTGCTCTTCAAGAACCCTGGCTGCCTTCAAGACTCCTGGCTGCCTTCAAGACCCCTGACTGCCTTCAAGACCCCTGGCTGCCTTCAAGACTCCTGGCTGCCTTCAAGACCCCTGGCTGCCTTCAAGACCCCTGGCTGCCTTCAAGACTCCTGGCGCTTCAAGACCCTGCTGCCTCAAGACCCTGGCAGCCTTCAAGACCCCTGGCTGCCTTCAAGACCCCTGACTGCCTTCAAGACCCCTGACTGTCTTCAAGACCCCTGGCTGCCTTCAAGACTCCTGGCTGCCTTCAAGATCCCTGACTGCCTTCAAGACCCCTGGCTGCCTTCAAGACCCCTGGCTGCCTTCAAGACCCTGGCTGCCTTCAAGACTCCTGGCTGCCTTCAGAGTCCCTCGCTGCCTTCAAGACCCCCGGCTGCCTTCAAGACTCCTGGGTGCCTTCCAAGACCCCCGGGCTGCCTTCAAGACCCCTGGCTGCCTCAAGACTCCTGGCTGCCTCAAGACCCCTGACTGCCTTCAAGACCCTGGGGCCTTCAAGACTCCTGGTTGCCTTCAAGACCCCTGGCTGCCTTCAAGACCCCTGGCTGCCTTCAAGACTCCGGCTGTCTTCAAGACCCCTGGCTGCCTTCAAGACCCCTGGGTGCCTTCAAGACCCCGACTGCCTTCAAGACCCCTGGGTGCCTGCAAACCCCATGGCTGCCTTCAAGACCCCTGACTGCCTTAAGACTCATGGCTGCCTTCAAGACTCCTGGCTGCCTTCAAGACCCCTGACTGCCTTCAAGACCCCTGCTGCCTTCAAGACCCCTGGCTGCCTTCAAGACTCCTGGCTGCCTTCAAGACCCCTGGCTGCCTTCAAGACCCTGGCTGCCTTCAGACTCCTGGCTGCCTTCAAAACCCCGGACTGCCTTCAAGACCCCTGGCTGCCTTCAAGACTCCTGGCTGCCTTCAAGACCCCTTTACTTCCTTCAAGACCCCTGGCTGCCTTCAAGACTCCTGCTGCCTTCAAGACCCCTGGGTGCCTTCAAGACCCCTGGGTGCCTTCAAGACTCCTGGCTGCCTTCAAGACCCCTGGCTGCCTTCAAGACCCCTGGCTGCCTTCAAGACCCCTGGCTGCCTTCAAGACCCCTGACTGCCTTCAAGACCCCTGACTGTCTTCAAGACCCCTGGCTGCCTTCAAGACCCCTGTCTGCCTTCAAGACCCCTGGCTGCCTTCAAGACCCCTGGCTGCCTTCAAGACTCCTGGCTGCCTTCAAGACTCCTCGCTGCCTTCAAGACCCCTGGCTGCCTTCAAGACTCCTGGCTGCCTTCAAGACCCCGGACTGCCTTCAAGACCCCTGGCTGCCTTCAAGACTCGTGGCTGCCTTCAAGACCCCTGGCTGCCTTCAAGACCACTGGCTGCCCCTTCAAGACCCCTGGCTGCCTTTAAAAACCCCTGGCTGCCTTCAAGACCCATGGCTGCCTTCAAACCCCTGGCTGCCTTCAAGACCCCTGGCTGCCTTCAAGACCCCTGGCTGCCTTCAAGACCCCTGGCTGCCTTCAAGACCCCTGGCTGCCTTCAAGACCCCTGGCGGCCTTCAAGACTCCTGGCTGCCTTCAAGACTCCTGGCTGCCTTCAAGACCCCTGGCTGCCTTCAAGACCCCTTGCTGCATTCTAGACCCCTGGCTGCCTTCAAGACCCCTTGCTGCCTTCTAGACCCCTGGTTGCCTTCAAGACCCTTGACTGCCTTCAAGACCCCTGGCTACCTTCAAGACCCCTGACTGCCTTCAAGACCCCTGACTGCCTTCAAGACTCCTGGCTGCCTTCAAGACCCTTGGCTGCCTTCAAGACCCCTGGCTGCCTTCAAGACCCCTGACTGCCTTCAAGACCCCTGGCTGCCTTCAAGATTCCTGGCTGCCTTCAAGACCCCTGGGTGCTTTCGAGACCCCTTGCTACCTTCAAGACCCCTGGCTGCCTTCAAGAGGGAGCTGGACAGATACTTAAAAGTCGGTGTCGGAACAACCGGGTTGTGGTTCATATGTTGGACTGCGTGCGACCAGCAGTAACAGCCTAGTTCATCAGGCCATGATCTACCAGGAGGCCTGGTCGTGGACCGTACCGCGGGGGCGATGACCCCCGTAATACCCTCCATTTAGACTCTAGGTAGGTAAGGTAGGGAAGGATTATAAAGAGAGACAGTGAAGATGGTGGAACTTACCAAGCAGGCCAGGAGGGTGACCACGCAGCTCTGGCAACACTCTCTCATCCTCACACACACTGAAAGAGAGAATGAAGAATAATTTACATAATAATAATAATAATAATAATAATAATAATAATAATAATAATAATAATAATAATAATAATAATAATATACCCACAATAATATAGAAGTGGAATACATTGTTTATCACCAAGATAGGGTGAGCGTAGTAGAAAAAACAAATTTACCGTCACTCGCACCGTAGCCGTCTTACCAGAAGTGCACAGACATCATGAACCGTGTTTGTGTGTTGTGTGTGTGTGGTGTGTGTGGGGTGTGTGTGTGTGTGTGTGTGTGTGTGTGTGTGTGTGTGTGTGTGTGTGTGTGTGTGTGTGTGTGTGTGTGTGTACCTATTTGTGGTTCCAGGGGTCGATTCGTAGCTCCTGGTTATTTCCATAACATAATTTGAATGATCATTGAGGCAAATGTTGAAGGGGGAGAGAGAGAGGGAGTGAGAAGAAATAAAGAGAATAGGAAGAAGAAAAAGAAAAAGAAGAAACAATTCCACAGATCACCGAACAGTAACAACAGAATTCTGAATATAGAAAATCAAGATCATTAAGCTGAACAATAACAACACCAGAAGAGCAACAGTGTCTCTCTCTCTCTCCAACACTGCCACCTGATACTCACTCAGTCGCAACCTACATAATTACGAACAGTACATGGAATGTGTACATGGACTTCCGCTCACGTGTACGTGGGAAGCGAGAACCTACGTACAGCCAAGGTCGCTCATTGACCCCAGCAGCTCCGTCAAGGTCACACACAACTATTATTAGCAATACTGCACACACAGTCAAGAACTCTCTGTTCTTCCATCTTCAAATTGTTCTTGTGTTCTATAAGCACCCAGGTACTAGCTAACTGCGCCACCCTCACCTCTGGAAACGCACACCAAGGTATACAAGGCTGGCACGTTACATCCCTCGGAAATTAATCAAATAACGCCGCGACGAGGCTATATATATAAACATAATGCATTGGGTCCGGCTCAAGCTTACGGCGCTTGGCAACTCTCTCCCCGCCTCATGCTAGGATAAACAAATTAAAATACGCCTAGATTACGGAGTAGATGCGTTGTTTTGGTTGATGGATCTACTTGGTAGGTGTTAGTGAACATACACACGGGTGGGTGTGGTGGTGGGAGGTGTTAGGAGTATGTTGTGTGTGAATGAGGAGGTTTTTGTGGTGGCTGATTGGCAACTGTGACACACAGACTAGGATAAACAAGTGAGTGTTCGATCCTCTCCATATATACGTGGGGATGTGTATGTCTCTTGGTGTATATACGTGGAGATGTGTATGTCTCTTGGTGTATATACGTGGAGATGTGTATGTCTCTCGGTGTATATACGTGGGGATTTGTATGTCTCTAGGTGTATATATGTGATGTGTGTCTCTCAGTGTATATACGTGATGTGTAAGTCTCTCGGTGTATATACGTAGAGAGGTTCATGTCTCTCAGTGTATATATGTGGAGATGTGTATGTCTTTAGGTGTATATAAGTGATATGTATGTCTCTTGGTATATATACGTGATGTGTATGTCTCTAAGTGTGTATACGTGGAGATGTGTATGTCTCTCAGTGTATATACGTGGATGTGTGTATGTCTCTCAGTGTATATACGGGAGGGGGGTGGCCCGGTAAGCCAGTGGAAGGCATCGGCCGCATGATTGAAAGCTCTAGTTAGCTGGTTATTGTATAAGTGAGATCCGAGCCAGGAGAGACTTGTGCTGTGTCCTGGCGAATAAAAGATTGCCACCACCACTACTACCAGCAACACCAGAAGCACCACCACTACCACCAGCACCACGACCACCACTAACGCAGTAACAGCATCAGACGCATCACTACCACCACCACTACTACCAGCAACACCAGAAGCACAACCACTACCACCAGCACCACCACCACCACTACCGGCAACACCAGCACCACGACCACCACTAACGCAGTAACAGCATCAGACGCATCACTACCACCACCACTACCAGCAACACCAGAAGCACCACCACTACCACCAGCACCACCACCACCACTACCGGCAACACCAGCACCACGACCACCACTACCGCAGTAACAGCATCAGACGCATCACTACCACCACCACTACCAGCAACACCAGAAGCACCACCACTACCACCAGCACCACCACCACCACTACCGGCAACACCAGCACCACGACCACCATTAACGCAGTAACAGCATCAGACGCATCACTACCACCACCACTACCAACAACACCAGAAGCACCACCACTACCACCAGCACCACTACCGGCAACACCAGCACCACGACCACCACTACCGCAGTAACAGCATCAGACGCATCCCTACCACCACCACTACCAGCAACACCAGAAGCACCACCACCACCACTACCGGCAACACCAGCACCACGACCACCACTACCGCAGTAACAGCATCAGACGCATCCCTACCACCACCACTACCAGCAACACCAGAAGCACCACCACCACCACTACCGGCAACACCAGCACCACGACCACCACTACCGCAGTAACAGGATCAGACGCATCACTACCACCATCACTACCAGCAACACCAGAAGCACCACCACTACCACCAGCACCACCACCACTACCGGCAACACCAGCACCACGACCACCACTACCGCAGTAACAGCATCAGACGCATCCCTACCACCGCCACTACCAGCAACACCTGGAGTTTACCTGGAGAGAGTTTCGGGGGTCAATGCCCCCGCGGCCCGGTCTGTGACCAGGCCTCCTGGTGGATCAGCGCCTGATCAACCAGGCTGTTGCTGCTGGCTGCACGCAAACCAACGTACGAGCCACAGCCCGGCTGATCAGGAACTGACTTTAGGTGCTTGTCCAGTGCCAGCTTGAAGACTGCCAGGGGTCTGTTGGTAATCCCCCTTATGTGTGCTGGGAGGCAGTTGAACAGTCTCGGGCCCCTGACACTTATTGTATGGTCTCTTAACGTGCTAGTGACACCCCTGCTTTTCATTGGGGGGATGGTGCATCGTCTGCCAAGTCTTTTGCTCTCGTAGTGAGTGATTTTCGTGTGCAAGTTCGGTACTAGTCCCTCTAGGATTTTCCAGGAGCACCACCAGCAGCACCACCACCACCCCTACCGCAGTAACAGAATTAGGAGCACCACCACCACTACCACCACCACTACTAGCAGTACCACCACCACTACCACCAGCATCACCACCACCACTACTATTCTCTTCACTATGACCTGCGTGTTGACCCTGACAGGGCCAGGCGCTCGTAAAGCTACAATAACAAGCATCTGCTTTCTCGTTCGCTCCAAAAGCAAATTCACCTTAACCTGCTGTCATTCTCATCCTATCTCGTTCAGGTGTCAATGTTTCCTTTGACAACTACCTTTCAAATCGTAGCCAGTTGTGTACTGCTACTGTTCAGTCTGCGTACCTGTGTGAAATTCAAACTGAGAGTCAGACTTCCTTACACTTGTATTCTCACTGGAGATACGCAGCTGAAAGGCAGATTTGCATGGATTAGAACACTGTTCATGCAGCGCCATGACGTAACTGCTTGATACTGTCGGTGAGCAAGTGTAACTGTGTCTGGATCTGTGGACTGTCTTCAGTCTACGTTACTGAGACTGCTCCTCTTGTGACTATCACAACCACCACCACCTGTCACTAATACTACTACCACCACCACCATCACCATCTGTTACTGCTATAGCTGCTACTACCTACCACCATCACCAGATGATGGTAGGTAGTAGGTACTACCACTACCATCTGTCACTACTACCTCCACCATTTGTCACTATTACTACCCCCACCATTTGTCAACTATATATATATATTATTATATATATATAATATATATATATATATATATATATAATATATATAATATAATATATATAAATATATATATATTATATATAAATATATATATATATATATATATATATATATATATATATATATATATATATATACATATATATTATATATATATATATATTATAATATATAAATATATATATATAATATATCATATATATAAAATATTATATATATATAATATATATATATATATATAATATATATATATATATATAATATAATATATATATATAAATATATATAATATATATATCCTGCCAGCAGATTCGAACCCACGTTTGTTGCTGTCCACAAGTATGGCTGAGCTCCCACCGTGATCCCTAAAATCACTTAGATACAGATGCCTGGAAACGCTAGGTAGCCTGATTAAAAACCATGTTTCTTGCCAGCGCCGGGTACACCATTGAGCCTCAGACATGGTCTCCAGGTAGCCTCAAGTCAGAGGAATCTTCGGAACTGTTGAGTCTTCAGCTTCACAAGACCCTGAATAGTCTGGCGAGAACTTCTCATTACATCAAGATGTGTTGGCCACTCCGTCACTCACTCGAATAATTTTTGTTTTCAATATCCTCCACTTTCAATATCGAGAAAATTTGATTGCCACCACATCACACTAGGCCACATATTTTTTTTTTAAGGCTATGAATTAAACGGCGGCAGCCCATTAATTTCGGTTGTAAATTCTAAGGTTCGGTGAAGCAAAAATCAAGGAGTGTGTGTTTGTTGGAGCACAGCTTCTCAAGCCTCTCAGAGGTGAGTCTGACCATATCATAGTTGGTGAGGAGAAAACTGCGTGCAGTGTTTTCCGGGTGGTAGCAACCAATTTTCTCGCGAAATAAACTTTATTCTCCGAAACACAACATTGTTCAAAGTTTGCAGGCCAGTGTAATCATTGTATAACAACAAACAATTGCAAAATACTCTGAGAGATTGAGAGATACAATTGCAAAATACTCTGAGAGATTGAGAGATACAATTGCAAAATACTCTGAGAGATTGAGAGATACCAGGACGTAATTTATTATAAAACGTTTCGCTCCTGGGACTTTGATCACTTTTAACAGACGTGATCAAGGTCCCAGAACCGAAACGTCGTCTAATATATTATGTCCTAGTGTTTATTTACGTGTTT